CACATTAGATGATCCTGCCAAGCGGTGACTCTTTCAAAACTACGGCAAAGTATAAAGAACGATACCAGCCACAAAAAGGAATAAAGCACTGACACAGGCAGCAACATGGATTGTATCTAAAATGACTGGAAGACATTAGCAAAGCACAAGAAGCCAGTCCCAAAAAGACCACATAATCTATGACCGCATCGTTGTGAACTGTCCACAAGAGAAAATACATAGAAACAGAAGGCAGGTCAGTGGTCGCCTGGGGTGGAAGGCATTGGGGCACACAGAGTGGGTGAGACCCAAAGTGCATGGAGTTTTATGTGAGATGATAAAAATACTCTAAATTTGACTTTCCTGATGGTGGCATATACCTGTGAATATACTAAAAATCATGGAAGTGTACACTTCAAATGGGTGAGTTGTATGATATTGTGAATGCTGAATATCTGAGACAGGTCTCAGTTAATTTAGGAAGTTTATTTTGCCAAGGTTGAGGACCTGCACCCATGACATAGCCTCAGGGGGTCCTGACAACATGTGCCCAAGGTGGTCAGAGCACAGTGTGGTTTTATACATTTTAGGGAAACATGAGCCATCAAGCAACATATGTCAGATGAACACTGGTTCAGTCTGGAAAGGCGGGACAATTCCAAGCAAACACGCAACGGGCTTCCAGGTAACAGGTAGATAAGAGACTAATGGTTAGGTTCTTTTGAGCTTCTGATTAGCCTCTCCAAAGGAGGCAATCAGATATGTATTGATCTCAACTAGCAGAGGGATGGCTGGATAGAATCAGAGGCAGTTTCGCCCTAAGCAGTTCCCAGCTTGACTTCTTCCTTTGGATTAGTGATATTGGAGCCCGAAGATTTATTTTCCTTTCATAATATATAATTTTTTTCTTTATATATATGTACATATATATATATTAGGTTCTGGGGTACATATGCAGAACATGCAGGATTGTTGCATAGGTACATACATGGCAATGTGGTTTGCTGCCTCCATCCCCGTCACCCATATCTAGCATTTCTCCCTATGTTATCCCTCCCTAACTCCCTAACCCTGCTGTCCCTCCTCTAGTCCCCCACAACACACCCCAGTGTGTGATTCTCCCCTCCCTGGGTCCACGTGTTCTCATTGTTCAATACCCACCTATGAGTGAGAACACATGGTGTTTGATTTTCTGTTCTTGTGTCAGTTTGCTGAGAAGGATGGTTTCCAGATTCATCCATGTCCCTACAAAGAACACGAACTCACCTTTTTTTTTGAGACAGAGTCTTGCTCTGTCACCAGGCTGGAATGCAGTGGCGCGATCTCGGCTCACTGCAACCTCTACCTCCTGGGTTCAAGCAATTCTCCTGCCTCAGCATCCCAAGTAGCTTGGACTACAGGCATGCACCACCACACCTAGCTAATTTTTGTATTTTTTTCACTTTTTTTTTTTTTTAGTAGATACGGAGTTTCACCATGTTGGCCAGGATGGTCTTGATCCCTTGACCTCATGATCCGCCCACCTCAGCCTCCCAAAGTGCTGGAATTACAGGCGTGAGCCACTGTGCCTGGCTGAACTCATCATTTTTTACTGCTGCATAGTATTCCATGGTGTATATGTGCCATATTTTCCTTGTCCAGTCTATTATCAATAGGCATTTGGGTTGGTTCCAGGTCTTTGCTATTGTAAACAGTGCCACAATGAACATATGTGTGCATGTGGCTTTATATAGAATAACTTATAATCCTTTGGATATATAACCAGTAATGGCATTGCTGGGTCAAGTGGAATTTCTATTTCTAGGTCCTTGAGGAATTGCCACACTGTCTTCCACAATGGTTGAACTAATTTACCCTCCCACTAACAGTGTAAAAGTGTTTCTATTTCTCCACATCCTCTCCAGCATCTGTTGTCTCCAGATTTTTTAATGATCGCCATTCTAACTGGCATGAGATGGTATCTCAATGTGGTTTTGATTTGCATTTCTCTAATGACCAGTGATGATGAGCATTTTTTCATATGATTATTGGCCTCACAAATGTCTTCTTTTGAAAAGTGTCTGTTCATGTCCTTTGCTCACTTTTGAATGGGTTTTTTTTTTTTTTTTTGTAAATCTGTTTTAGTTCTCTGTAGATTCTGGATATTAGCCCTTTGTCAGATGGGTAGATTGAAAAAACTTTTTCCCATTCTAATGGGAAAGTTGCCAGTTCACTCTAATGACCATTTCTTTTGCTGTGCAGAAGCACTGGAGTTTAATTAGATTCCATTTGTCTATTTTGGCTTTTGTTGCCAATGCTTTTGGTGTTTTAGTCATGAAATCCTTGCCTATGCCTATGTCCTGAATGGTTTTGCCTAGGTTTTCTTCTAGGGTTTTTATGGTGTTAGGTCTTGTTTAAGTTTTTAATCCATCTGGAGTTAATTTTAGTGTAAGGTGTCAGGAAGGGGTCCAGTTTCTGCTTTCTGCACATAGATAGCCAGTTTTCCCAACACCATTTATTAAACAGGGAATCCTTTCCCCATTGCTTGTTTTGGTCAGGTTTGTCAAAGATCAGATGGTTGTAAATGTGTGGCGTTGCCTCTGAGGCCTCTGTTCTGTTCCATTGGTCTATATCTCTGTTTTGGTACCAGTACCATGCTGTTTTGATTTCTGTAGGCTTGTAGTATAGTTTGAAGTCAGGTAGCGTGATGCCTCCAGCTTTGTTCTTTTTGCTTAGAATTGACTTGGCTATGTGGGCTCTCTTTTTGTTCCACATGAAGTTTAAGGTGGTTTTTTTCAGTTCTGTGAAGAGAGTCACAAGTAGCTTGATGGGGATAGCATTGAATCTATAAATTACTTTGGGCAGTATGGCCATTTTCACGATTCTTCCTAACCATGAGCATGGAATGTTTCTCCATCTGTTTGTGTCCTCTCTTATTTCGTTGAGCAGTGGTTTGTAGTTCTCCTCAAAGAGGTCCTTTACATCTTTGTTAGTTGTATTCCTAGATATTTTATTCTCTTTGTAGCAACTGTGAATGGCTGTTCATTCTTTTTTTTTTTTTAATTTTTTATTGCATTTTAGGTTTTGGGGTACATGTGCAGAACATGCAAGACAGTTGCATAGGTACACACATGGCAGTGTGTTTTGCTTCCTTTCTCCCCTTCACCCACATTTGGCATTTCTCCCCAGGCTATCCCTCCCCAGCTCCCGCCCCCGCTGGCCCTCCCCTTTTCCCCCAATAGACCCCAGTGTTTAGTACTCCCCTCCCTGTGTCCATGTGTTCTCATTTTTCATCACCCGCCTATGAGTGAGAATATGTGGTATTTCATTTTCTGTTCTTGTGTCAGTTTGCTGAGAATGATGTTCTCCAGATTCATCCATGTCCCTACAAATGACACGAACTCATCATTTCTGATTGCTGCATAGCTGTTCATTCTTGATTTGACTCTCTTTAAGTCTGATATCGGTGTATAGGAATGCTTGTGATTTTTGCACATTGATTTTGTATCCTGAGACTTTGCTGAAGTTGCTTATCAGTTTAAGGAGATTTGGGGCTGAGACAATGGGGTCTTCTAAATATACCATCATGTTGTCTGCCAATAGAGATAATTTGACTTCCTCCTTTCTTAATTGAATACCCTTTATTTCTTTTTCTTGCCTGATTGCTCTGGCTAGAACTTCCAATACTATATTGAATAGGAGTGGTGAGAGAGGGCATCCTTGTCTAGTGCCAGATTTCAAAGGGAATGCTTCCAGTTTTTGCCCATAAAGTATGATGTTGGCTGTGGGTTTGTCGTAAATAGCTTTTATTATTTTGAGATATATTCTGTTGATACCTAGTTTATTGAGAGTTTTTAGCATAAAGGGCTGTTTAATTTTGTTAAAGGCCTTCTCTGCCCTTCCCCCCACAGAGCTGGACTGCCCTGTGCTTGCTGTGAAACTCTCAGTCCAGAGCATTTCAGATTGCTGGTCTTTGTGGGGCTGGGACCTACCAAGCCAGATCACCTGGCTCCCTGTTTCAGCCCCCTTTTATTCAGTTGAATGGGTGTCCCTGTCTCCCAGGTGTTCCAGGCACCAGTTGAAATGGTCGCCCAGAATTGTGTGAGGTTTTATGTGGACACCGACTGCACCAGCTGAAACAGTTATTCCGGAGACTCATGGTACTTTTCTGCCCAGGAATCTCCTGGTCTGTGGGCAAAAACTCATTTGGAAATGCAATGATCACTCACTCTCTGCATTCTCACCGGGAACTGCACTCCAGAGCTGTTCCTATTTGGCCATCTTTCCACAATATATAAATTACATCTTGATAAAGCTTTTTTAAAAAAGAACTATATCACCCAGAATTAAAACATAACTTTTTGCTGACAAAAGAGTAAGCTATAACCACTGATTGCTTCAGTTTATTTTAGTAAAAGAAAATCTTACTGAAGTTGAAGTCCCCTTCATACCCAAGTAAATTTTGTTACATTAAAAAATTATTTAAAATTTTTTAATTACAGTTTTACTGCTAAGTCTTCAACCTTTTAAACCATATGTCTGAAATTTCAGCCTTCATTTACATGGATTTACCTTGAGGGGCCTTTTCCAGTTCTAGCCATCTTTGGATGATAAAAATCTCAAAGAATAACTGAGTCGGTGCGTGCAGACTGAGTTTATGGCCCTGGGAAGCAGTGAGCCATGAAAAAAACAAAGGTACAGAAAGAACATTATCAAAGCCAATCACTGCTCTTCTCCACCACCCCACATTTGCCCCTCCCATACATTCTCTACCATCTCAGCCAATGGCCACTCCATCCTAGGGGCCATCCAGGGCAGACTCGCATGGTCAGAATTCACTCTTCTCTTGAGCTCACTCCCCAGCACTCAATCCATCAGCAAATCCTAGGAAAGGTAACTATAGTGGGCCCTCAAACAACACAGGGTTTGAACTGCACGGGTCCACTTATATAGGACATATTTCAATAAAAGTTATGTCAAGTGTTCCTGCCTTTCCTGCCTCCCCTTCCACCTCTGCCACCTCTTCTGCCTCTTCAAGGTGCCGAAGACAGCAAGACCAATCCTTCCTCTTCCTCCTCCTCCTCAGCCTACTCAGCATGAAGGTGACGAGGATGAAGACCTTTATGATGATCCACTTCCATTTAACAAACAGTAATTATATTTTCTTTATAATTTTCTTAATAACATTTTTTTCTCTAGCTTACTCTATTGTCAGGATACAGTAAATAATACATAAGACCTACAAAGCATGCTAATCAATTGTATATATTATCTGTAAGGCTTCTGGTCAGAGGTAGGCTATTGGTAGTTATGTTCTGGAAAGTCAAAAGTTATACATGGATTTTTGCCTGGAAGGAAGATGTCACTCCTTTTTTTTTTTCTTAGGCGGAGTTTCGATCTTGTTACCCAGGCTGGAGTGCAATGGTGCAATCTCGGTTCACTGCAACCTCTTCCTCCTGGGTTCAGGCAATTCTCCTGCCTCAGCCTCCTGAGTAGCTGGGACTACAAGTACGCGCCACCATGCCCAGCTAATTTTTTGTATTTTTAGTAGATACGGGGTTTCACCATGTTGACCAGGATGGTCTCGATCTCTTGACCTCATGATCCACCCGCCTCGGCCTCCCAAAGTGCTGGCATTACAGGCTTGAGCCACCACGCCCGGCCATCACTCCTAACCCCTATGTTGCTCAAGGTCAACTGTATGGCCATTCCAGATGCTGTGTGCACATTCCCCTGAGCTGTCTGGTCTTTGCACCTGGCAAGCCCACCAACTTCATTAATTAGTTCCTAAGTTCTTGTGCATCTACTATGTGCTGACCAATGTTCTAAGCACTGAAGTACAGAAATAAAATAGTACAGCTTTATAAAACACAACCAAAAGTAAGAAAACACACTCCAAAATAGCCAGATTTCTGAGCTGCACTTGGGAATTCTGGAAGGTGATCCTTCCAGAATTGACTCTAAATTCTGACTCTGAATTCCACTACTGGCTCTAAAGCTGGACAGGGTGTCCTCATGCCAGCTGCCCTGACTGGCCCCAACAGCCTCCAAGACCGTGACTGGCTGAGTCATGCTTTCTCAGGGTGCATTTAAAGCTGTAAATCTGGGAGAGAAGGAAACCCCAGCGGTGTTCAGCCACGATTCCCATCCTTCCCACTCAGTGGCAGACCACAACAAAAACTCCAAGCACAGCAAATACAAGCAGCTCTGCCAGGTGGTGCTGAAAACGTAGCCCTAAATAAACCCTTCTCCTCGGAAGCCAGATGCAAAGCGTAGCAACCACAAAAGATATTTCCAAGGGATTTCCTACAGAGAACAGAAACAACCTTCTCCCTCTGCCGGTCCACTTATTCATTCAAAACTCATGGAGTGCTGTGCTAGAGGCCAGGAGATCAGTAAACACAGACCTAGCTTTCAGTTGGCCCAAAGTCTAACACATACATGGCCTTTCTGTATCTCCACAGGATGCAGAACTTTACTGGAAGAATACAAGAGCAGGGGGCGGCAGGGGGTTGTGGGGGAACCGATGATCTGTAAAGAAAAGACAGAGCCAAGTCTTGATGTCATGATTTTCCCGAAAGCACTACAGAAAAGGCAGAGAAAGCCAGGGCCCAGCACCTAAGGTTGAGCTTCTAAACTCCCTCCTTTCCCAGTATCTCCTCAACATCAGATTCAGACCCTAGTAACTTATTGCACCATTACATGTGTCAGACCCTGTATAGAGCACCAAAGGGCAAAGACACATGGAAAAAACTCAGTCCCTGGTCTCCAGTGGCTCATGACCTGATCATAGACTCCAATAAAAATGCAAACAACTATAGTGCAAGGCCAGACAGAAGCATAAAGAAAGATTACAAAAGATGAGGATAACAGGATATATGATTCCCAGACTTCTTGATTCACAGACATGAAAGAACTTGGAAGACATGCTCATGGATTAGAACAGGTGTCAGTAAACTATAACCCATGGCTGAATCTGAACCCTTGCATCTTTTTGTAAATAAAGTTTTATTGAAATGCAGCCATATTCATTCGCTTGCATATTGCCTGTGGCAGCCTTCACACTGCAATGACAGAACTGTGTACTGCGACAGATACCATCTGGTCTGCAAAACCGGAAATATTTACTATCAGGATCTTTACAGAAAAGGTTTGCTGACTCCTGCACTAGATTTGATACTGAAAAGATGTCTGTTCTCAGGTTGACCATGAATCAATAAAATTACATTTAGATATCATTGTGAACATTGATTAACTGATTATAAAATGTATTATGAAAATAAAAAACACCAAGAACAATCAAGGCAATCTAGGTTTGAGAGAGCTTTTCAAATATCAGCCATCCTTGAATAACAAGGACCTCAAAGAGTAACTGAAACAATGCATATAGATGGTTTAGCATGGGTCTGGGACACGGAGCACACAGAAAAGTCAGCATATTACCTTTCCAGATGCTATGCGCACATTCCTCTGAGCTGTACATCTGACATGTGACATCTCAGGAGCATCGCCATCTTGGAAAAACACCACCATTTTAAGTTCCCCTTGATTGAAAACCACCTAAATCCAGCCCCAAAACACCAGTCTAATGGCCAATGTCAGCATGACCATAAACCACAAGTGACACCTTTGATCAGAAACATTCCAACCCTGAGATAAACTCCCTTCCTACCAGAAACATGCCAGCCCTGAGATAACTTCCCTCTAACCAGACATTCCAACCCCTCAATAAACCTCTCCTCTACACAGAAATATTCAGAGCCTGCGATTAGCTCTCCCTCCCTAAACCCCTAAATATCCTTCGTAAGATAGAAGGCTCCTGACTGAAACCAGCCAGAAGCCCCTCTCAGGTTTATTCTCCAAAATAAACCTGTCTTTGACTATTGAGCTGCTTTTCATGTTTCTTTCTTCTTTTTAACTCTTACAACAGGTACACCTGGCGAGCCTGCCAACTTTACCAATTAGATTCCAAGCAAAGCTGGAGGACTTACACTCTTGAATAGCAAGCCTCACACTCCAAAATAATTAAAACAGTGTGGTGTGAGTACCAGACAAACAAACAGATCAAAGAACAGAGTCTAAAACAGACCACATATAGATGAACACTTGATTCATGACAAAGAGAGCACTTCAGAACATGAGGCAAAAAAATAACCTTTTTAATAAATGGCTCTGGGGCAATAGGATACTCATGCAGAAAAGGAAGAATCACGACCCCTAACTCACACCATACACATTTCAGGTAGATTTCAATCAAATCAGGTAGATTTTAGATCCCAATATAAAAGGTTAACAATACTAAAAGATAACATAGGCTAGGTGTGGTAGCCTATGAAAAATATTAATATTGTGGATTACATTAAAATTGGAAGTTTCTGCTCATCAACAATGTCAGAAGGTAAAAAGGCAAGCCACATCCACCATCCATATGCCCCAAAGACTAGTATGCACCTATATATAAACTTTTAAAATTTAATAGGGAAAAGACAGATAACCCCATATAGAAATGGACAAAAGCCTTGAACAAACACTTGGCAATACAGAAAGGACAACAGCCTTATTTTTTTTAATATTTAAAAATATGAACAGACATATTTTTAAATTGTCCATTTGGACATCAGAAAAATTGGCTTCATTGGGCATCAGAAAAATGCAAATGAAAGCAGAAATGCTTAACTACTCCATAACTACCAGAATGGCTTAAATGAAAAAGACAGACAATACTGAGTGTTGGCAATGATGTGGAGCAACTAGGACTCTCACATCCTTGTGATGAGAGTGTAAATCAGTACAAACACTCTGGGAGACAGTCAACATCTGAGGCTGAATGCAGGTACATTCAATATCCAGTTCTACTCCTAGGAATATTTGCACATGTACACCAAGAACTTGAAAAAGAATGCACTATCATGTACTTTTCATAATGGTCCCAACTAGAAATAACCCAAAAGACCATTAAGTGTAGAGTAGAAATATTAAATGTATGTGATATGTGCATACAGCAGAATACTAATAGCAATGAAAAAGAGCCAACTCCCGCTGCACACAACATGGAGAAATCCCAAAATGGGTTGAGCAAAAGAAGCCAGACAGAAAGGAAAGCATATTCTATGAAACCATTCATTTAAGGTCAAAAACAGGCAAAACTACACTATATTGGAAGAAATCAGGATAGTGGTCACGCTTGAGAGAAGTTGGAGGACATGACTAAAAGGAGCCATAAGGCATTTCCAAGAGTAGATACGTGCAGTGCGCTTGGTGTGCCGAGCGGTGGTTACACAGATGCGTTCACTTGTGATGACTCCCTGAGCCATACTACACTTCTGATTAGTACATGCTGTACTTCAATTAAAGTCTCATGGTCCCCTGTGTGGACAAATATAAGTTTGTTGCTGAGTAAGAACATTAAGAAGGCCCACTCTCTAATCTCAATTTTATTCCAAAAAGGAAAAAAACATTTGAACGCCAAAAAGTCCATGAAGAAAAATGTCAGGATAAAAACGTCCATTAAATTGAGTACATTTATCTCTATGAAAGAGTTTTAAATGCAGCTATAAATAACCTTGTATGCCCAAAACTCCAAATTTTTGTTCCCAGACCTGGTGTCCCACCTTGGTTTGTACTTCAACTACGTTCTCACCACCTCCTCTTGAATATCTAATAGACACCTTCACCCTAATATGTTCAAAACTGACACCCAACCTTCCGTCCCATTGACTCACCACTTTCACATCTTGGATAGTAACTCCACCCATCCAACTATTCACATCAAAAACTTTGGAGTAAAATCTGGCTACTCTCTTCCATAGCCGACATCCACTCCATCAGAAAGTTCTATTGACGCTACCTTCCAAAGATCTCCAGAATCCAGCCAGTCCTCATCACTTGCACTGCAATTAATAACTCTCTGCTTGAAGGCAGGTGTTGATATGCATCTTGTGTACATTACCCGTGTTTGTGTCTGTATGTATGCATGCACACACCATCATTTTTCACCTAGATTACTCATAATCAGTAACTAGCCTCCCTGTTCTATGATCTATTCCCCACACACAACCCAGAGTGATGTTTTAAAATCTGGGACTCCGAACATGCATTTCCTCTTTATTAAAAGCCCAAGTCTTTAACAATGGTCTACGGGCACTTCCATCACCTGTCTGTCCTCATCTCCCACTGTCCCTCAAATATATCACTTCCCTCAAATACAACAGAAGCCCTATCCCCTAGAACAATGGTCCCTAACTTTTTTGGCACCAGGGACCAGTTTTGTGGAAGACAATTTTTCCATGGACAGGGGGTAGGAGGATGGTTTCAAGATAATTAAAATGCATTACATGTATTGTGCACTTTATGTACATAATCTATGTACATTGTAATAGATAATGAAATAATTACACAACTCACCATAATGTGGAATCAGTGGGGGCCCAGTGGGGGCCTGAGCTTGGTTTTCTGCAACTAGATGGTCCCATCTGTGGACGATGGGAGACATTGAAAGATCAAGCATTAAATTCTCATAAGGAGTGCACAACCTAGATCCCTCACATGCGCAGTTCACAATAGCATTTGCACGCCCGTGGGAATCTAATGCCACCACTGATGTGACAGGAGGCGGAGCTCAGACAGTAATGTGAGCCTTTGGGAGTAGCTGCAAATACAGATGAAGCTTCACTGACTCTGTACCTGTCCATGGCCCAGGGCTTGGCGACCCCTACCTTAGGGCTTTTGCATTTGCTGGGGGGTTTTGATTGTTTTTTGTTTTTCTACCTAGAAAGCACTTCCCCAAATACTTGCATCACTCATTCTGTCATTTCTTTCACACTTTGCTCAGAGGCCACCTTCCCAGCCAGGCATGCCTTGGCTGTTATTTAATAAAGCACCTGCCTTCCATTTCTCCCCGTTGCCTGCCCCCGCCCCCATGCTTCCAATTTCCCTTCTGTTAGTTTCCTTTATAGCCTTCTAACATGCTACCTAGTTTACTTATCTTGCTTATTTTTTAATTATTTCTCCTGCTAGAGTACAAGCTATTTTTGTTCATTCACATGTTCCAACCTCCTACAAAAATGCCTGGCACATAGTAGGTGCTTCACAAATACTTGCTAAGTGAATTACTTGTGATACTGTCCTTGGGTTTCTCTTTCTGCAGCAGATGGACATTGGGAACCATTGAGAAGTTTCATACATTTGGGGTTCCTGGAAAGAGATCCCAGAAACTCTGGAATATCATCCTCAGGCATCCGATGTTTACCGAGTGCCTTCTCTGCCCCACCCACTGTCTCAACACTGCCGGCACAGCAGCGAATGTAAAAGACGTCAGGAATGGCCAAAGAGTGAGGAAAGGTGAGATGAGTCGATATGCTAGAGCGGCGGTCCCCAACCTTTTTGGCACCAGGGACTGGTTTGGTGGAAGACGACTTTTCCGGGAACAGAGATGAGTTGAGGGAGTGGAGACGTGGGGATGGTTTCACGATGAAACCTCCAGTCTTGAGGCATTGGATTCTCATAAGGAGCGCACAACCTAGATTTCCTCATGTTCCCAATTCACAGTAGGGTTTTTCTCTCTGATGAGAGCAAACCCCGCTGCTGATCAGACAGAAGGTGGGGCTTAGGCTGTAATGCTCCAGGCAGCCGCTCACCTCCTGCTGTGCAGCCCAGTTCCTAACAGGCTACAGACCAGTACGGGTCTGCGGTCTAGTGACTGGGAACCCCTGTGCTAGAGCACAAATCGGTGGGGGCAGAGGGGTGCCACTTTGGATGGGGTGGTTGAGCAAGGCAGCTCTCATCTGAGATCATAAAGGAGGCAGACATGTATGCATGGGGGAGGGGGCAGAGAACATTCTAGAAGTGATGGAAGCCCCTGGAAAGTTTTTCGTTTTTCAGTTGGCTGAGTGGAGAACAAATTGAAAGTGGTCAAGGATGGAAGCAGCTCCGACAGGAGAGGAGGAGAAAGGGTGGGAGAAAGTCACAGCAATGAGGAGAGTCTCCATTTTGTGTTCCTTTTAGTGGAGAATGGTATTGTCCTCTCCAGCTTTATTAAGGTATAACTGACGAATAAAAATTGTATTTGTATTCATGGACAACTGATGCTCTGATATTCATGCACACCTCAGAGAGATTGCAGGTTCAAATCCAGACCACCACAGTGAAGGAAATAGCACAATAAAGCAAGTCACATGAAATTTTCAGTGTATATAAGTTACGTTTTATACTATACTATACTATTGTCAATTAAGTGTGAAATAGCATTATGTCTTTTCTAAAAAAGTACATATCTTAATTTAAAAATATTTTATTATTAGGCCAAGTGTAGTGGCTCATATCTGTAATCCCAGCACTTTGAGAGGCTGAGGTGGGAGGATCACTTGAGCCCATGAGTTCAAGACCAGCCTGGGCAACATGGCAAAGGTTTGTCTCTTCAAAACATGAAAAAAATTAGACATACACCTATAGTCCTAGTTACTTGGAAGACTGAGGTGGGAGCAGGTCTTGAGCCTAAGAGATCAAGGCTACAGTGAGCTATGATAATGACACTGTGCTCCAGCCTGGGCCACAGACAAAGACCTGTCTCAAAAAAAAAATGATAAAAATACTAATACTCTTCTGAGCCTTCAGCAAGTGACTATACTATACTATTGTCAATTTGCTGGTGGAGTAGTCTTGCTTCGATGTTGATGGCTGCAGACTGATCAGGGTGGTGGTTGCTGTAGGTTGGAGCAGCTGTGGCCACTTCTTAAAACAAGACAACAGTAAAGTCTGCCACATCAATGGACTCTTCCTTTCAGGAAAGATCTCTCTATAGAGTGCAATGCTGTTTGATAGCATTTTATACACAGTAGAACTTCTTTCAAAATTCAAGTCACTCCTCTCAAATCCTGCCACTGCTTTATCAACTAAGTTTATGTCATATTACAAATCTTCCATTGTCATTTCAACCATGTTCACAGTATCTTCATCAGGAATAGATTTCATCTCAATAAACCACTTTCTTGCTCAACTGTAAGAAGAAACTTCTCCTCCATTTAAGTTTTATCATGAAACTGGAATAATTCAGTTACATATTCAGGCTCCAATTTTAATCCTAGTTCTTGTACTGTTTTCACCACAACTGTAGTTACTTCCTCCCCTTAAATCTTGAACCCTCAAAGTTATCCATGAAGGTTTGAATCAACTTCTTCCAAACTGATATTTTGACCTTTTCCTATAAATCATGAATGTTCTTAATAGCATCTAGAATAGTGAATCCCTTCTAGAAGGTTTCAATGGACTTTGCCCAGATCCCCCAGAGGAATCATTATCTGTGAGAGCTATAGATTTACAGAATATACATCTTAAATAGCAAAACTTGAAAGTTTAAATTACTCCCTGTTCCATGGACTACAGAATGAATGTTGTGTTAGCAGGCATGAAAACAATATTAATCTCCTTGTATGTCTTCATCAGAGTTACTGGGTTTCCAGGTGCATTATCTATGAGCAGTAATACTTTGAAAGGAATCTTATCTGAGCAGTAGGTCTCAACAGTGGGCTTAAAATATTCAGTAAACCACGTGTAAACATGAGCTGTCATCTAGGCTTTGTTGTTCCATTTATAGAGCACAGGTAGAGTAGATATAGTATTTAGTTATTTATTTTGTGTGTGTGTGTGACACAGGTCTTTCTCTGTCACCCAGGCTGGAGTGCAGTAGTGTGAACACAGCTCACTGTAGCCTTGACCTTCTGGGCTTTAGTGACCCTCCTGCCCTAGCCTCCCAAGTAGCTGGGACCACAGCTGCACCAGCACACCCAGCTAATTTTTTTTAATTTTTTGTAGAAATGACGTCTCATCATGTTGCCCAGGCTTGTCTTGAACTCCTGGGCTCAAGTGATCCTCCCAACTCGGCCTCCCAAAGAGCTGGGATTATAGGTGTGAGCCACCACACCCAGACATCATTTAGCATAATTCTTAAGGGCCCTAAGATTTTCAAAATGGTAAATGAACATTGGCTTCAACTTAAAATCACCAGTTGCACTGGCCACTCACAAGAGAGTCAGCCTGTCCCTTGAAACTTGGAAGCCCAGCATCAACTTCTCCTCTCTAGCTATGTAAGTCCTAAATAGCATCTTCTTCCAATAGAAAGCTGTTTCATCTCCATTGAAAATCTTTTGTGTAGGGTAGCCACCTTCATCAATGACCTTAGCTTGATATTCTGGATGACTTGCGGCAGCTTCTCCATCAACACTTGCTGCTTCACCTTGAACTTTTATGTTATAGAATTGGCTTCTTTTCTCTAATGCAGGGCAGAGGGCACATTAAACTAATTAAATGTGTATTACACACATGGGTGTGCATGGGTGCACATGCACGCATACACAGACACACACACACACACACACACACACATACTTCAAGGGAAATGGAAGGCTGGCTATCCTGGCATCCAGAGAATTCTTTTAATTGAATTAGATTGAAATGAAGACTGGTTCCTCCTTTGTTCAAACCTTCCATGGTTACCCATGGAGCACGCCAGCTTCCTCCACATGTGTACAAAGTCTTGTAAGTTGCAGCCCTGCCTCTCCATCTCTCCTCTTCCCCTTTCTCCCCAGCTGACTCCCCTCAACCATAGGTCTCCATTCTGCTCCCCCAGGGAGGCCACATTGCCTCTAGCCACAGGAGGTTTCCTGTGCCTAGAAAGCCCTCAGTGGCTCCCCATCACCCCCCACCACCCCGCCACCCCCGGTGGATCTTGTTCACCTGCATATCTCAGTTCAGCCATCACTTCAGGGAAAAAAGTTATCTTGAACTCCCCCTGCAGTTCAACTACCCTAATTACAGCTCTGCCACCCCTTCATAACATGTTTTGTGTTGTAATTTTACACACGTTCGTGTGATTTGGTTAATGTCTAATTCTGTTATTTTCTGAGCAACAAGAACACAGAAATGTGTAGCACATTTCCGTTCAGTCCACTTCTGAATGTGTAGCACATGGCACATAGGGGTGCCAAATGGGTAGGGAAAATGAGCATTAACTAAAGCAGTCTTTGAGCACCTACCATCTACACTAAACAGTATGGGAAATACCAGCAGGCTAGGATACAGCCCCTCTCTCCTGACACTTAGAGTCCCAGCGGGGGTCTCGGACAACAGACAATCAGAAAATACAAAACAGAACACAAATCAGAGGCAACCCCTGCTGCCTGGCATCCCTGCCTCAGTCAGGCAAATGTTATTCTTACTTCTCTCTGGGGAGATATCCCTCACTCATCATGTGCAGCTAGGGTGGGACTCTCCATTCAGGGTCTATTCTCCCATCAGAATAGGTGAGCCCATGACTGCAGCTCATCTACGGGGACCCTCACTCCCGGAAAGCCACATCTGGCCTGCAGGGTGCAAGCACCAAAGGCACTTGGGGAAGGCTCAACCACCTTGCTATTTAGGGCTTGGTCTGAAGCTCCACCCCTAGCCCCAACCCCTGCCACAGCTTCCCCCAAAGCTGCCCTACTACCAGTCTTTTCCAAAGCCTGGATCTTCACCTCTCCTGTTCTCTGAAATCTCCCCAATGCTGCCTGAATTTTTTTCTACCTAGAATTAGTTTATGTGGCTCACAACCAAAGAATCAATCAAAGAAAAGAATAAGCATTGAAACATGTCACAGACTGTGCAGAAGGTGTTCAGGGATAAGGAAGGTGGAACGAGGTGGAGCTGACTCCAGGCCCAAGCCTCTCTCTCTCTCTCTCTCTCTCTCTCTCTAGTGCTAGAAAGTGAATAGCAAGGTCTTTGGCCTCATGACCTGGGTCCTCTCTCATCCTTCCTCCGTCATCTGGAATGGTCACCAGATAGGAGACGTTCCAACCAAGGGTGGAAGCAGAGGGCAACAGGGGAGAAGAAACCTTGGTGCACACAGCCCCAGGGCTGGGGGTGGACAGAGAAGGAGGAGGAAATTGACATGGAGAGGACAGGACTCCTTTCTGCCATCTACTGGGGCCACATTATGAGTTTCATCGGCTCCAATGCACTTTTGCTGTTGTGGGTCCTCCCATAAAATAGATTATAAATTATATTTTATGACTATGTTAGTGTGAAGACAAACATATTAATGTTATGGACTAAACAATTTTTGTCAGCTTCAAAGTGCATTTTTTTCTTCTTTCAAAAGAAATTAAAACAATTTTATGAGTGATTTTCTTGGTTTCACCATAAGAAAACCCTCCCTGCTGGGGAAAGACAGATTGTATACATGTGTGCCTGTGTTTGTGCCTGTGTGTATGTGTATACACTTCTGCACATACACACACCTGCACATACACATATGCATCTGTATATATTTACACACACGCGTGATTTGTGTATGTTTTCTATTACTGTGTAACACATCGCCACTTAGCAGCTCAAAGGTAACGCAATCTATTATCTCCATTCCGAGGTCACAGATCCAGGCACAGCATAATTGGATCCCCTGCTCAGGGTCTCAGGCTGCAATAGAGGTGTCAGTTGGGATGCATTCTCATCTGGAGGTTCTAAGGAAGAATCCACTTCCAAGATCATTCAGACTGCGGGCAGGACTTATCTCCTTCCAGCTGTCTCACTGAGATTCCCACTGTAGCCACTTGCCGTTCAAGTTCACTCTGGGCTCCTAGGGTTTCCCTCAGGCCCTTGCCACCAGGCCCTCTCATGGTGTAGCTTCTTGCTTTTCCAAGGTCAACAGGAAAATCTCTCCGTAGTCAGCTAAGGAGTCCTAGAATACCCTGTGCTCACAGGAAGGACATCACCCCAATGTAGGGGCCATATCACATAATGTGATTGAGGGGTGACATCCCATTACAGTCACAGACCATGCCTACCAGAATGCTGCCTGCTGTAGGAGCTTTAGCAAACACCAGTAGTTCCATCAACCCACGTCTGAGCCAGGCACTGTTCTGTGCAATTCATATAAGTTTTAACACTGTGAGGTCAACGATCATATTATCCCCATGTTTCAGTTAAGGAAACTGATGCTCAAAGGGTTAAATGAACTGCCAGGCTCACAAAGCATCCCTAGTGCAGAGTGATGTGCCTGAGAGACAGGAGGGCAATAGTGACATTTCTAAGCATGAGTAGCTTCCTTGTCATTTATAGCAAATCCAGGCACCACCCCAGACTGGTACTGAATCAAACTCAGTACCCTGA